AGCAATACTGATGGCATTATGGCAGTAGGCTCACCAGATAATTATTCTTATATTCGGTATTCGTATCACTATAATAGAATGTACTTCGAATTAGGGATTTTTTATAGTTTAAAGACGGAGAGAATACTTTAAGCTATCGTATGATAGCTTAAAGGTAAAGGTAAATATATCTTGAAGATATATTTTGAAGTATTTGATTAGATGTACGAATTATTTGATTGATTTAATGTATTTGAGTAGATTGAAATGAAAAAGTGAAGTTCAATGGGATAAATAGTATTTACATTCATATCTTGCTCAATGTTCATGTCGTAAATCTATAAGTTTTTCGTGTTATGATTGTTCTTTATTTTTTGCAAGTATTTTTGTAAACGTACGATTGCATTGCTTTGCCGCTGCTTTTGCTTCAGCCAACAAAGTGCATTTGGCTTGGGTCGTGGTGGCCGTTGAGCTCGGCAAGGACGTACGTGAGAGAACGATTCTTTCCCACGTGGTAGAAATATGCTGTGTGTGCGTTTGCTTGAGTCATGACTTCCGCTTTGTTTTCGGAAAGCAAGAGCCTCAAGTCATCAGACCCTTTTACTCATATACTCGTAGGGTACCGTAGGGTAGGCGAAAATGTCTTCCGTTTCTGTCCAATATTTCGTATTATTTGCTTACTGTGGTCGTAATTCCGAAATTTTATTGACGTCTACAATGAAAGTTTATTAACGTTTCGTGAAATGTATGTATGTATTTACGATCTATACGCGATATGTACCTACATATTTATACATGTATATATATTTTTTATAAACACGAAATATAGTACCTATATACATATTTATCTCACTTGCTGAAATATGAAACTAAGGTAACTGGTTAGGCTATATTTTTTATTGAACAGATATTTTCATGAATGGAAACATAATTCAGGTTATTTTGTAATGGTATTCGGGTTTTGCCTGTTGTTTCCTGCCGCCCCTGTCACAAGCTGCTAGCTGGAGACCGCGACGGGCTCTAACAACGCGTGTCTTGTCTCCATGTTGACGTCTGCGCTGAACAACTGTAAACAACTGCAAGCATGTCCGGTGCCAAGATTTGGGCATCTCTTTGTATAAAATACTCTTGTTCTAACTGTTACTTGTTACTTTATAATATTCAGCAAATAACCTAAATTTGTCATTGGTATTTTAGGTTATTTAGATTGTATGCTAGATTTTTATTGTATGCTACTATCACTAGTATTGTATTTGATTGTATATATTCCTTTGAGACTATAAACATATTGTATATATTGTATTGTATCACTATTGTATTTGGTTGGTGTTTAGATTGCATCTAAATTTGTCTATGGTATTAAACAACTGCATGTATGTCCGGTGCCAAGATTTGGCCATCTCCGTGTATGAAATGCTCTTCCTTAAATTATTACTTATTAATATTCAGTAAATTATCTGAATTTGTCCCTGATAATTATCTCTGTGGGAGTCAATTTTATTTTCGTGTGCTTAATATCTTCTGATTATTTTATGAACCTCGTCCAACGTCAAGAATATAAATACTCTTTAGGTTAAGGCATAATTGCATGCAAAAATGTATTGTGAGCTTATTCTAAATTTTCTTAGTTTCAATATGACATTGCACTAACTTCAGTTCGTTTCTAAATTATTTTGTGTGCGCTCGCCTTCGACCTCGTGCAGAATGTGAAGAATATCACAAATTTGTCTCTATCTCTCTAGAGATGAACTTTTAACTGTAACTGCTTCAATTTCTCTTGTCCTGACTTCGAAATAACCAACATTGAGGCGTAAACATTTATTTCTTAATTGTTTCTCATTAAGCTTTTATCTGTTCCTATCGTTAAATATCAATCATTGAACTAATTTAGAACGTTGAAATTGTTACTCTTTGGGATTCAATTATATCATGACCCATTTTTGGAAACGAGTTTTTCCTATTTGCCAATTCTTCGTTATTCATATTCATCGTTCGTATTTCTCGAAGGACATTCATTACCTAAGGCATATACAGAGCAATTTGTAGCGAAACGTTTCTCTTCACCAGGTGTTAATTATTACAGCTCTGTACGTCGGTTGAGTTGCGGGTTCGGGGCGCTACGTTATCTGAGCGGAAGCTTCTGGCTTATGTATACGAAATAGAATTGCCTCTTGAGCTACGCAAGCCTCTTACCTCTTGAGGTACCCAAGCCTCTTGCCTATTGAACTCCCCAAGCCTCGTGCCGCTTGAGCTACCCTAGCCTCTTACCGCTTGAGGTACCGGTACCCTAGTCTCTTACCTCTTGAGCTACCCAAGCCTCGTGCCGCTTGAGCTACCAAAGCCTCTTGCCGCTTGAGCTACCAAAGCCTCTTGCCGCTTGAGCTACCAAAGCCTCTTGCCGCTTGAGCTGTGAGCATCTTGCCTCTTGAGCACCCTAGTCTCTTGCCTCTTTAACTATACCCTGGCCTCTTGACTTACCCCAGCCTTTTGCCTCTGGAACTATTGTCTTGGGTCTATTGAACTATTCCCTTGCCTCTTGAACTGCCGTTGTCTCTTGCACTACCCATGCATATTGCCTCTTAAACTCTTGCCATTTGTCTCTTGAACCACCCATGCCATTTGTCTCTTGAACTACCCTTGCCATTTGTCTCTTGAACTACCCTTGCCATTTGTCTCTTGAACTACCCTTGCTATTTGTCTCTTGAACTACCCTTGCCATTTGTCTCTTGATCTACCCTTGCCATTTGTCTCTTGAACTACCCTTGCCATTTGTCTCTTGAACTACCCTTGCCATTTGTCTCTTGAACTACCCTTGCCTCTTGAACTACCGGTATACCCTTTTCTCTTTAATTATACCCATGCCTCTTAAACGAGTTACCCTTGCTTCTTTCCTCTTGAACTGCCCTTGCCTCTTGAACTATACCCTTGCCTCTTGAATTGTACCTCAACCTCTTGAACGAGTTACCCTTGCTTCTCGTCTCTTAAACAGACCTGGACTCTTGAACTATACCTTACCTTTTGAACTATACCTCTACCTCTTGAACCTCTTGAACTGCCCTTGACTCTTGAAGTAAACCCTTACCTTTTGAAGTATACCTCTAACTCTTGAACGAGTTACCCTTGCTTCTCGCCTCTTGAACGCTGCCAAGTTACTATGGACCACATCCTGTGGTTGGCTGCTCCTAGCATTTAGTTGACGCTGGTGTGTTTTTAAACATCTGCGTGTGGGTTTAGACATGCTCTACGTAGATCGTGTTGTCGCTCACTTCATACGACGCTTTGTAAATTTCATACATTTCTTTACAAGGTAAAATTTTAATAAACATTATATGTTTTAACTGAAAATAATTTGAATAATATACCTTTAAAAATGATTTTTTAAAGACAACACTTCCAAAGAATCCAGTGTCTCCAATCTTACAGATGTACAATGAATTTCTCATTTAATTTTCGAATTAAAAAAATTAGTTTTTCAATTTTTTTAAAATATGAATTTTTTTAATATATAATTTTCTTTCAAAATTAATTATTCTATTAATTGATTCATGCATTGCCTCTGACTTCACACAAGTGTGCAAAAGTTCAGATCAATTAGACAGGTAAAAGTGTGTCAGATATCAGTTATAAGATTTGTAGCTGACAAAATTATTTTTTCAATTTTTTAATAGGGTATTGGATTTTTTTTTAAATTTTTTAAATTTTATATTTTGACATTTGATTCGTGCATTGTCTCCAACTTTACATAAGTGTGCAAAATTTCAGATCGATAGGATAAGTAGAAGTGTGTTAAATTTTGATTATAAAATTTGTAGCAGACAGACAGACAGACAAACAAACAGAGAAGAAGTGAAGTTAAATAGAAGTGTTGTAAAAAATAATTCTCAACTAAATTCTACTGCAGTTTCTAAATTCTCCTGTGCCGTTTTCGAACCTAGCTATCTGGCAAGCTATCCAATTCATTATATATATACGGAATATTGTGTTTTTTTTTTTTTTTTGTACAATCACCCTTATTTATCATTTGCTACAAATCAAAACCTCTTGAACTGCCCTTGCCTCTTGAACTATACCTCTACCTCTTGAACGAGTTACCCTTGCTTCTCGCCTCTTGAACTCTGCCAAGTTACTATGGACCACATCCTGTGGTTGGCTGCTCTTAGCATTTAGTTGACGCTGGTGTGTTTTTAAATATCTGCGTGTGGGTTTAGAGTTTAGACATGCTCTATGTAGATCCTGTTGTTTCTCAATTTTTACGACGCTCTGTAAATTTCATACATTCCTTTACAAAGTGAAATTTTGGTTAACATCATTATATGTTTTAACTGGAAATAATTTGGAAAATAATGTTCAAAAAATTATTCGAATGTAGTTTCTGAATTCTTCTGTGCCGTTTTCGAGCCTAGCTATCTGGCAAGCTATCCAATTCATTATATAATTACGGAAAATTTTTTTTTTGTACAATCACGCTTATTTATCATTTGCTACAAATCAAATTTTTTTATTATTACCGAACTTTTTTGTCTCTTAATTATGAATGAATTAACTCAGCATTTTTTTGTAAGAAATGTTGTAAAAAGTTCACCAAATTCTTAAGTTAAGCTTAAGTTATCAGTGTATATAACCCAGATAATCAATAACCTTTCGTTAACGCTGAGTGCATGTAATGAGCACCATTGCTAGTGTTGGGGGCTGATGGAACTCGTATAGCTGTGCTATTTGGATGGAACTCATCACTGTGCTAACTCATCACCAAAGTTTTGAAGCTTACCATAAGTTATCAGTGTATATTACCCAGAAAATCAGTAACCTTGGAGCACCATTGCTAGTTATATTGGTCGCTGATGGAACTCGTAGCTGTGCTAGCCTTGTGTGGCTGTCCAATATTTGCGTGAGTGTTTACACTGAGGGTCGCCCTTAGCCCTAACGCTGCGAGGGTTATTCCTTCATGGGACGCGTCTCTGCGTCCATGAGTTGGTCCCGAATATCGACAATCTTATGTCTCAGGTGTCTCACTCGGCGCCTCAAGTCCCAGGCTGAGGTCCGGTGGGCATTGAGCCCCGGGCTGAGGTCCGGTGCTTCTTGCGTCCCGGGCTGAGGTCCAGTGCGCCTTGCGTCTCGGGCTGAGGTCCGGTGCGCCTTGCGTCCCGGGCTGAGGTCCGGTGCGCCTCAAGTCCCGGGCTGAGATCCGGTGCACTTGCGTCCCGGGCTGAGATCCGGTGCGCCTTGCGTCCCGGGCTGAGATCTGGACTGAGGTCCGGTGCGCCTTGCGTCCCGGGCTGAGATCCGGTGCGCCTTGCGTCCCGGGCTGAGGTCCGGTACACCTTGCGTCCCTGCCTGAGGTCCGGTGCGCCTTGCGTCCCGGGCTGAGATCCGGTGCGCCTTGCGTCCTGGGCTGAGGTCCGGTGCGCCTTGCGTCCCGGGCTGAGATCAGGGGTACCGAGTATAAAATAATAAAAGGCATTATGAACCAATAAGAAATTAATATTCATTAACTGCTTATGACAATAATGTATATAAGAATGCGCGGAAGAAAATTTGGAGCTGAAATCCAAGTTTTATTTAGAGAAAGTTCCTGTGCATCGTCTAGCCTCTGTGATACAAGGACGCCGGTCTGCAGTCCTGTTGTCATGGCGACGGCGACCATCAAACAGCGTGAAGTGATGAGCTGGTTTGGGTGACGGCCGTCCTGTAAAATTAGTCTTTTTGTGGATGGACGATGAATTGGTTGGGTTAATTATGGCAATCAGCCAAAATTCCCTATCTGGGATTAATCGATTAGTTACGATGCGAATACGTACTCGCTAAGACATCGATGCTCGTTCGGTACGTTCATTTATGCGATGAATAATGTGAGGATATATTGTAGGACACGTGTAGTCTTTATCGCGTTTTGTCGAAATTTTTGCAAACTTGAAAATAATACGTCCAATAACCGTGAAAAACGTGACTAAAGTTTTGTTTAAAGTAACTGAAAGCCTACTTGATTTTTTAAAAATATGTTTTGATTCAGCCAGGCTGTATTTCCATGCTTGTTACATGCGTATATATTCGCTGTGTTACATCGACGATGAACAAATGAAAAAATAATTATTTGGCGCAAAAAAAACTTTTTTTTTTTCACGCTGAACCATATTGTTTGAGTGATGGTTTAAGATTTCGATTCGTGTGAGCTTAACCCGTGATTTCGTAATTGCCTGCTAACGACCGAGAATGCGACCTTGATTGTTGATTGCGTCGCTCATCACGCGCGGCAATAATTGACCGACGAGCTTTTTTCTTCTGCGACACTCGTGTTAACCGCGTCAAGCTACCGTCAACATTGAATTTGCATGCCGCTCTCTCCGTGTTATTGTTTCCCAATAGGTAGTTGTGTCTTAAATGTTATATGTGACGCAGAAGGCAGAACAGTACTTGTGACTCGAGATTATATTTGACTCGAGATTATACGTGACGCCCAACAGTACTGTACTTGTGACACGAGATTTTATGTGACGCCCAACAGTACTTGTGCCTTAAAGATGTGACGCAGAACAGTACTTGTGACTCGAGAATATATGTGACGCCCAACAGTACTTGTGACTCGAGATTATATGTGACGCTCAACAGTACTTTTGCCTTAAGATTATTTGTGACGCAGAACAGCACTTGTGTCTCGAGATTATATGTGACGCAGAACAGTACTTGTGACTCGAGATTATTTGTGACGCAGAACAGTACTTGTGACTCGAGATTATATGTGACGCAGAATATATGTGACGCAGTACCAGTGCTTGTGACTCGAGATTATATTTGACGCAGTACCAGTACTTGTGACTCGAGATTATAATCTGTGGCACCGAATGGTACATGTGACTTGAAATTATTACACATTCACTATAAGAGCGAACTATCTTCATTCTAGAAGAGACCTCCATTTGAAGTTTAACGAAAGTTGAGCATAGACACATCAAGAGTTGCGCCATACGAATTTTTGACAAGGTATGAATGATTGTGCAAGGAATGAGATTCCGATTTGTGTTTATTTTCATTTTGCGTTATTTTCTATCTCTTGATCGAAACTTTGGGTTAAGAGGATTAAGCCTGCAATAGATGGGTTTTGATATCCCTAGAATCAGAACAACTTTCAACATCGAAGATGAATTTAACCCCTTAACTTAGAAGTTAGTCTCCTAGCAAAGGTGGTCAACAACAAGCATAAACTTCAAGTTCTCTACTATGTTTAAAACTTTTTTGGGTTTAAACCCTTGGAGGTTTTAAACATAACAGGGAACCTGCAAGGGGTTTATTTCAAACCTGCAAGAGGTTTATTTGAAACCTGCAAGGAGTTTTATATATGAAACCTGCAAGGGGTTTATTTGAAACCTGCAACGGTTTTGTTTAAAACCTGCAAGGGTTCTATTTAAAGCCTGCAAGGGGTTTATTTAAAACCTGATTCATAGATAGTATCTCCCGTAATGAATGGATAACAAGGAGAAAGATCTAGAAAGAGGAGAAAGATCTAGAAAGAGGAGAAAGATCTAGATTTAAATCTCGAGTTTACGTTATAGTGCATGTAAACTTTGTCGTGTGCCCGGATTGACATTACGATTTAAAAGGACTGTAGGGCAGACTAAGACCGAAGTGATCGATTGTGCCCAGCAGTTTTGCTTGTAAGGCCGTCAATGATTGGCTGATGAACTTACGATTTCTTAACTTTTTTTTAAAAGTATATAGGCCCAGGTTTTAAAGGTCGCCTCAACTCAGAACACAATCTCGTCTACCGACGTTCGTCTGATCATTGCTCGGAATTTTTTTTTTTGTTTCCTCGAATTTTTGAGACTGTGTTGTGCTTTCATGTGTTCACTTTCTTTGCGGTTACGAGACTTTGATGCTTACGATTTTAGAGGACTGAAGGTCTGACCGCGATCAAAGTGATCGATTCTGCCCAGGTTTTCAAGGTCGCCGCAACTCGGGACCTGTCTATCTTGTCTATCTTGTCTACCGACGTCCGTCTGATCACTGCTAGGATAATTATTTTTTTGTTTCCTTGAATTTTTGAGACTGTGTTGTGCTTTCATGTGTTCACTTTCTTCGCAGTTACGACGTGACTTTGATGCTCTTCTCTGATTTTTCCCGATCGATAAAAAAGATGGGGTTTTCTAGTATCGAACTCTGTTTATTTTTCGCGAGGTTGGCTTTTATTTTAGTTCATAAGATCTATTGTCCTTTCGAGCTAAGGCATTTCGACTCAATTTCAAAATATCTAACTTTATTCTTCTTTAATAAACGGGAGTTTTTTATGTTTCTGCAATTTAAATGCTACATACTGTATTAGGAGTCCATAACTTTTATCCTTCTATTGCATTTTAAATCTTTGCTTTTATATCGAAATCGCGCATCCTCAGAGTTCGACACATCAAATTACGATATGTTTTCGGCTATTGTTCCAAAGTTCGACATAATAAATAGTTCTACACGAACATCCCTCTCTCATTTCTGATGATGAATCTGACTATATTAGTGATATAGATGATAGATAAAGATAGATATAGATAGATATAGATCTGGCTATATAGATGATATATATTAGTTAATACAAGAAACGTTCTCGCAGCATAAGTTTCTCGCGAGCCCGCATCCCAACTCGTTGATGCCTAGAGATGTGCGTGACAATTCGTGGCTAGACGAGGTGTTTGCATGTAGCCACTGTATGGAGCAAGATTTTAGCCTCTAATCGTGCTTGTCGGCCTCGCTGAACTATGACAGATTCGTAAGACCGTAAACGAGCTTCTCGTGTTGGTGTTGAGACGTGTGTTCATTTTTTAGCAGTTACGAGACTTTGATGCTCTTGAATGATTTTTCCTGATCGATAAACAAGATGTGGTTTTCTAGCATCGAACTCATGTCATTCGTTCGTACCTACAACTCCCGCTAGCTGGTTCTCTGCGTTTGCTTCTTGATTTTCACCGTTTTAATTGTTTAAACTTCTAGAATCTCCCATGGTGTTTTTTGATTTTGTTGGAAGGTTGCTGTTATTGATTAATTATTGATACTGTGATTATAGAATTTTCTTCTCTTTATTTTCTATGCAATTAATTGCATGACAATTACTGATGAACAGTCATGAAGATAATTACATAACATATTCGCACTGGGCTGCGCCTGTTAAATTCATTCCACCGATTGAGTGACCAAGCAACATTAGCAAAAGGTTTGAATTTATTCCTGCTGTATAGATAGATTGGACTGGATAAAATATCGTGAACGTCACCGACTCTGAAAGTCTTCTCATGTATATATTATCTCGTGTTCTAATGTGTGTGCAAGAGTAAGGTATGGTGATTGTGCGCGCTCGTGTCGTGTGAATGGCCACAGAAATCCTTGGTTGCAAGTACCGTTATCGAAGGTATGGCATTCTTCGTCTTTGTTTCCCAGGGTGTCGATAAGATCTTTGATACGCGTATACTGCATGTGTGCCAGCGACGAACCTGCACTTATATTATCTATTCAGATGTTGATATAAATGTGGCATATATATATTATATACTGGGTGTGAAAGATTCTAAACTCCGATGTTGAAATTAATGTGGCAGTGACTATTTAATTATAAAAAAATTATTAGTTTGCAATTTGCCTGAACGATTTAGATTTCCATTTTAATCGATTTTTTAGCTATTCAGTCGTTAGTTAATTATAAATTTTAGGCAACATAAATTTGCGTTCAAGTATTTATTGGATGCGGTCTTTCTTTAATACGCTAACGTTCTACAAAAAAAATTAATTTCACGAGCAAAAGACCTTAGCACCGACAATGTTTATTCATGAAACTCTTGGCCAAAACTGGACAGTACTAATCAATGTTTACGGTTCAGATATTCATGCTTAAGGGTATATTCGCAATGCAGCACCGGACCTGTATGGCAATCAAGCACCTACTACACTATAAAGAACCTATTAGGTTTCCCAAGTTAACATGAACACATGTTTGGACCCTCTTACTCAGTGCGTTGCGTGATATAACATTGCCTTTTAAGTCTTATTAGTGGAGATCTAAAAGGTATTCGTTCATAACGTTTCTGCCCTAACACAGAGACTCTTTAATTATGCCGGTCGATTGGTTGCAGGGAACGCAGCTAGACAAACGATAACAAGCTCTGTTTTCTTGATGGTTGCATGGAACGCAGCCAGACAAACGATAACAAGCTCTGTTTTCTTGATCTTTTCGCAAGGCTTTCGTTGGTTCAAATGGCAACTTCCTCGCCATCTTGAACTGTTTTATCGGCGTTTATTTTGATGATCAGGTATCTTATACAGTTTACAATCATTGTTGCTTGAAATTATGACACTTTATAGACCATTCGTTGAGATTGGAGAAGAATGATTATAGGCTCGTGAATACATTTGTGGACTCGGTGATATCTTGATTATATTTGCTGTGTAAAAACAACAGCTGTGTTGCCTTTAGTATTACCTGTACCTTTCAGCTGTGTACTCTATCTAGTAGATAATATTTATCTAGTAGTGATAATTATCTAGTAGATAAGAAATAAAACCTATGGAAAAATATATGTTCAGATTTGAAATGCCTATAGCTCCTTATCGAACCCGGTGGAAGTCTAGTAGCTACTTCAAACTATCGCCAGTCATGAAAAGATCCGGTCAAATGACACGAGTTTAGAT